TGATGAACGATCACCTATAGACGCCAATGGATGCCTGTAATACTAGGGTTTTCACTTACACGTTGCCGACCCTAAAGAACCTTTACCCTTACCCTTTTTGAAAAATCATATACTGTAGACTTTAAGGAAAACTTCGGTAGGGAACTCATTCCATAGCTTGGAGAACATTTTGAAACCGCATTGCACGTGACCATTTAAGTTCAAGCATGTGAGGATGAATTCCTTGTCGATGGCGAGCAGTGCAATGATAAAAAGTGGATGTAGGCATCATTTCAAATAATTCCTCAGAAAACAATCTGACCTTGTATTTATAAGCTACATAGAGATGGTAACGCATCTTACTCCTGCTCATAGCTCATGATGGAATGATGTAAGCTTGAATTATTTATTTTATTAATTACTTGCCAGCTTGTAGGCAATAGCGTTCCAACAGTTAATCTGTAAACAAAATTCTTTGTTAAAAGTATATCTTGCACTGCCACAAACAACAACTTTGTGTTAACTAAAAAATATTCTAAAACAGGCAGGTAGAACGTATTTCTTTATATTATTATGTACATAGTAGTTTACGTTTCTAATGAATAAAGGAGCTTAAACGGTATCGTTTTTCACGCCAGACACTGTATTAAATGCACAAAGGCTCCTGATAAAGGTCGGAGACAAATACCTCGCAGTCTGCTGCTACTATTTTGACATTTTAATTTCACCCTTGCTCAAAATCCTTTTTGAATAGCGACGGGGGCGCGACACGACGTGAACTAAGCTTTCGTGATACATGTATCTCAGAGAGGTTGATTGACATTTATCGCTAGGATTAAAATACAATTAAATTTTATTTTAAATTGAGCACGTTTTTTCAACCCTATGCCTTTATTGTAGAGCATATGGTAAGGTCAATCTGAGACTTCAAAAAACGTACGTAAAGTAGTAACTATTCGAGTAAAAATAAGAATAAATACAATTTGAATAAATATAATTCGAATGAACACAATTAAGTATTTATAATTATTTACTTTTATATTTGTATTATGGCGCTATAGGTTGGCCCTAAAAATTACGGAAAAATATTTATTTATTTATTGGTATATCAACAGTGTTACATAGGTATAGTTTGTTATAATAAAATATTTATGAAACTGGTAGATATATATTTTATTTTTTCTAAAGAAAGGTGATAACGTTATGTTTATATGCATATAGACATTTATAAATTATTAATTAATTTTGCACGAAATATTGTTATTATAATACAGAAACAGGGCAATAAATTGAAATTTACACACATATTCCTGGGTTTTCTCGATTAGAGGTAATTTGCGTCAATCACTAGCATTGTACCGTTCCCGTCCGCCTTCACTTTGGACTGGAGCATTTGCTATAATTAAAAACCGAGCCCCCATTTACAAAAGTCAATCGCGGGATTAATGTTTGACATGAACGCACCGTTTTCAGACAGCACTTTTGTACTTTATTCTATTACGCCTGCTATTACCCCGTCAAACCATATGAGATTAAGTTTTTCTATTTCTCTCAATTTTTATTATTAATATGTACCGAATGATGGCATTATTATCTGAGTATAAATAGAAATAGCATTTAGGTATAAAAATATCGATGAAATGTTATTCCAATATTTTGTTTAAATAAGTAAAGAAACTAATATAGTTTTTATATTTATATGCTAACTTGCGACCCGCCCCGGCTTTGTACGGGTGCAATGCCGCACCGCTATGTCCCTGCACTTTAAATCTGTAATATCTTCGGAAATAATCATTTAAATTACATGCTGTAAAGGACCATATTGATCTATATTAAATAAACAATGTAATTAAGGTACTTAATTGGATAAAAATTAATGCTGTATTGCTTAAAATCACTTCGTAAATAAGCCATTTTTTCCCGTAAAATGTATAAGATAAAAAATGGTTATTGTGGGTTATCCTTAAGAGATAGACATATACCATCGCGGACTTTTTTGTTGACCTTAAGGTGTACAATACTGTAGTATATTATTTTGATTTATCTCGTAGAGATCAGCCAGTGTTTGTAATGTAAGCGCAAAAAATGTGTTTATTTACGATATCACATAAGAAACCTCTAAAATTGTCAGTGTTCCTCTACTATATTATGCATGTATTATACATATAAACCTTTCTCTTGAATCACTCTATCTGTTAAAAAAACCGCTTCAAAATCTGTTGTATAGTTTTACAGATTTAAGCATACATAGGGACAGACAGACAGCGATAGCGACTTTGTTTTATACTATAAAGTGATGAAATATGATGCGTAAATTTACTTTCCCTTATAAAAGTAGTTTGTAGGGTGTTTCTTTATTACCTCTGTTATTGTAAAATACATAAGATACAGAAATTTATCGTTGTTATGTTTTTATATATGTATATTTTTCAGATTTAGTTGAGGAAAAAATGAGACTTATTTTTTTATGAAAATAATTATTTCATCAGAATATCTTAATTTTATTGTTATCATGTGAAATATATTCATCCATAGTACAATAAAATTTATTTTAAGTTTCACTGACTGATCAGTTCAGGGTACAATACCTGAAGAAACTCAAAATCTTTAAATAAAAAAATCTTTAAATTTAAAAATATTAATTTTTCTTCTTATATTCACTCCGTCTGACCCTAATATTATTGCATCTAAATGACAATGAGTTTATAAACCTCAAAGCGTGACAGACATTTTCATTACAAATAATTTCCTATTTTATTGCCTCCACAAAACTCATTTCATGACTATATTTGTTTGCATTTTCTATTTGCGCAATTCTTGATTTGTGGTGTAGTTTATATATGGTCATAATATTTCTATCCTTTTTCTTTATAGCCCTAGTCGCAAGTGCGAAAGAGATCTATAACACTGGGGTTGTAGGGTTATTGGTCACGCAAAGTAGTAACAACCCTTTCATGTCACTTGTGACTGGTAAACGGTAATTTGATTTCACGCGTGTCTGATGATTAATGCTAGTACCTTATCGCTCCATATTTTACCGATTTAGTCAAATATTATTTTTTATTCCATCATGCTGCACGAACGTGTGAATTCAACGTAATCTGAACGACAAACATTTTAACAAAGGCCAGTGTGTTAATAGGATATTTTCAATGTATATGCCAAAATTCATGACGTCATGAATTATTGTATTAATATTCAACGCCGATAAAATTAACAAAATTCTTTTGTTAAAATCAAATGGATATACCTACTTATCTATTTAAGTATAGAAGTAAGTAGTGCCACGTGTTAAATTTACCAAAAAGTAGGAAATACTTCTTAATTAAGTACTATCTACTTCGTTTTGTAAGTAGATCCAACTCGTATTATAATGCTCACCTATAATTATCAACAAAGCCTATTGGCTTTAATAATTACATAGATAAAAGGATAATGTTTGAATTCATTCTATATATTTAGGTGAATATTTTTTTAATTCATTAATTTATTTTTTAGGTAACCTAATATTAAATATTAAATTATTATTATTACATACTTTTTTGTTGTTTTCGACAAAAAGGTGGTTTAATATGTGTCAAATTACATAAAATCAAGTACAAAGGAAAGTTTTAATATAAAAATTAGCCCAGGATTGATCGAAACACTAGGTAATAATGCAGTAAACGTCATAAGACACATAGTCACCTTTAAAACTCTTAAAACATGTAGAGTTAAGGAATATTGTTAATATTTATCATGTGAGGTATATAGTATACACATCCTAGTTTATTGATCGTGAAATAGTAGTCTATGGTCATAGTATTGTATGTAGATACTCGTAATTCCATTGCTGGCGCATGCGCTAATACAAATACTCGGTCAACCCATATAAAACATATAAGGTAAGAAGGGTAATCTTGTTAATACATTCGGTTAAAGTAAGGAACATCGAAATCGATTCTGAGTTGACAAAGATTTTGCATAACATTACAAGGTACCTACTGTAACGTTATGCGATATAATGTTACCATTTTTTTTGTCAATTTATGTCTGTGATATTTTTTAATAATGATCAGTCATCCTTAATAAGTAGCAAGCGAATCAATCGATAGAATAGTTATCTCTAGTGATTTCATGAGATAGAATGAAACAGTAACGTTTGCTGTCTTGTTCTTTTTTAGGCTAGCGATAATCAAAATGATTCAATCGACAGATTCATTTGCCACTTGTCTAGGTGAGCCGGATAAAAAACACATGAAATTCAAATATATTTACAGGGGGAAAGGGATTGTTAGTGATGAAGACTAAGAATCTCATTGTTAGTAATATACTCAACCAGGTCGAGCTCCTCGCAATTCCCCCTGGAAACTATCATGATTAATTTGTGATGAATTTATCATGATAACTGACCTGTTTTCATTCTCATCGATCACCCTTCACTGGTGCTCAGCCAGCGTATCCCGTTAGCGCGGGCAGGGTTGCCATTTCATTTGCACCCATAAAAAAAATTACATACATATCACTTTTTATTTATTCTTTATTCATATATAGGTTTATATTGATTCGTGTTTATAGATACCCGGAAAAAGGATTATAAGAGTTGAACAGAAATATAGTCAATTCGTATTTTGCTACCAAGTAACTCAGCATGTATGGCTATGAATAGAGGAAATTCCATAACAACTAAGACCTGAGCTTTGGCAAGGCATGAGATCATAAGTACCGTGGACGTCACAGTATAGTCAATGAAGTTCATGTCTATTAGAGATGGTGAAACTAATTGATAGTTTATTCTCCATGTACAATTAGTTTACCGTTCCATGTTTCGTAATAATATGTGTAATAAAAAAAAATAACAAATTTATTATTTTGAATACTCTACCATATTTAAAGAAAAAAAAAGATATAACCTGTAGTAAACTACGTTATACATATAACTATAATTAAGTATCATAATAAAAGTCGAATATATAGCTTATTTCAACATTATCAAGTACAAGATAATAACATATTTTTTTAATATAGTCCTGTTTGTTTAGGCTCCTGCACCCACTTAAATCCTCTTAACTGAAAAGGATCGTTTCTTTGTGTGACGAAAAGAGGATCCAAGTGATGTTCTCATATTCGTATGTGTAAGTAATCAAATAACAGTAATGCCTATCCTAATCCTCGCTTAATGCTTTTGTTCGCCTGTTTTACGCTTCACTACGCCCTCGCACAAATATTTGTTTATCTTCTGTACGGCTACATTTATCGCGATCTACAAACTTATTGTTAAAGCTTGGAACATTTTTTCTCCAAAAAATGCTACTTTTTTACACTTTTTTATCGAAAACTGTCCGATTCCGAAACACGTGGCTCATGATTGATCACTGATTCACGGGCTATACGCTACGTCGACATTACTCCAACAGTTTTAATGTATCTATGTATATTTGTATTTATACAATCCAACTAGTAATAGACCTTTTTTGGTAGCGTTTGTAAGGCCTAATAGACATTATTTATTGTCACGTGCTAGTTTTTACCTAAGCATTTATTAGACGGTTATAAATGTATGTAGCGGTTATTTTCCGCTACTATCAGTAGGTATGTACTTACCTTTATTTAGTATTTGAAAAGTGTTATAAAACCAAGCAATAGAATTGAAATATTGTTGCAGTTAGCATTTGTAGACGTTGTGATGTTATTACTTAATTATATATTTCCCATTCCATTAGTTTTACTTTAAGCTTATATCGATCTGCGTGAACAATGCAACAGTGATCCCTAAGTGTGAACATCTGTATTTGCGTACAGCGCTCCCACTCGCGTACACCTATCGCTATAAAGCTGTATTCAAATAACTTTAATCATTTAAGTACACAAATCCATTCTTGCTACTAACGAATTATAATTATTCATAGCCGTTGGCGACAGCACAATCCTTTCGATTCAATGCCTTTTTGCATAATGGCAATATACAGATATTGATTTAATGTCCAATTTGTGTGTAAGTATAAAATATGATAACCTGTATATAGCTATATAAGTATTTTTTATTGTTTGCTTGGGTACCTCAGTCCCATTCGTGTTTCAACCGTAAAGCAGTTGTGTTTGCATGGCTGTGTTTCGGTTTGAAGGGTGGGATATGGCGTGAATTTACAGGGTACAGAGGAATAACACCTGAGTCCTCAGGAATGGCAAAGCATGGGCGAAAAAGTATACTCTGTTATGTCCATAGTATTGCTTATGTCTATAGGCGACGGTTACCACTTTACATCAGGTGGGCGGTCAGCTTGTTTGCCATTCTAAGTTGTATAAAATAAAATAAAAAAAATATTTACATAACTATATTCACATAATTTTTTAATGGTACCAGTAAGCGAGCAAGATTTGAAACCGCACCTTCCACACAGAATACATGTATTCTATGCCTTCTAAGTCAGGCCGAGGCTTTACCAGGTTCTTACCAGTTATTATTTTCTTTTTTGCAGGATTTAATAAGTACATACATATTATCAACAACAGCTAAACCCTTTTAGTAGTTTTTTACTAATGTATAATGACACTAGTGACTAGGTGATCAATAAAATTATCTGCGCTCACGCTTCTCGTGGGCAATCGGTTGAAAATGTTAAGCGGAGCACTCAATACTGGATTTTATTTCGTGCATGGTGACACAGATCGCCGTGACATGTTCTCGTGTGACATACACCGTGTACCGACCCGTGCATTCATTCATGCAGTCACATGCATCATTGCATCCAACATTTGTGAAACATTATTTGATAGAGGCGATTTTTTTATTAAACCTTATAATTTCAATTTATTTTTTATAACACATATTTTACAGACAAATATTTTATAAGATCTCATGATGGGATTTTAGAATATTTTTTACTTCCAGATCCTTGGTGGTTATTTAATGATTGTAATAACATATCAAGATTTATTAAAAATTTAAAAATACCCCAACACAAAAAAAAATATGTAAAGAGTAAAGACCCCGAATACGCTATATCGAGAGGAAAGGGATTGTTAGTAATGGGGTCTTATAGGCCCATTACTAGCAATATACCCTCTCAGGTGGACCTCCACGCGGTTCCCCTTGGAAACAATCATGTTTAATGCTTGTCAAATTCATCATGGTGGGCCAACAGACTTGCATTCATTCTCACCTATCATCTTCCACTGGTGCCTCGTCGGTGTATTCCGATAGCGCGAGCGGGGTTACCATTCCATTTACAACCATTAAAAAAAAACGCTATATCTGCTATAAGTTGCCGAGGAATTAGATAACCTGCAGACTACTTTAAGTTGCAACATCTATATAGAAAATAATGATAATGTTTAGTGATATTTAGTAAATTTTAATAATTATTTTCGCAATTGATAAGGTTTATTCCTCATCCTGATAGCCTGTTAATTTTATCAAGAGTTAAATTTTTGTGGATCAAAAATTTTGTCATTATCATATGAGCCATTAATTGTCCTCTGCAAAGCAAAGTCCTCTTTCTGAAGGGCAGTTTTGCAAGTAGTTGCCACACTTGGCAGGCGGGTTGGCAACCGCAGTTAGGCTTTAGCGATACTATATTAGGTATATTAAGTTTTTTTGGAAGTTTAATATAATTAATTTTACATATCTACATCAGGATATTAAATGTACTATTTGTTTATTATATTTGTCTAATAAATTAGACTAACTAAATAAGTGTATCTGAACAATAAACTTAATTTTAATTTAATTATTTTGTATAATTAATCAATGACAAAATAAGTAGGTACGACAAGCTACAATTGATCGAGACAATCAAGGACGACGATAGATTTAGAAAATGTAATAAAACGTGAAGCCATCGTCCTTTTTTCATTTCCACCAGATGTGCGATAAACGTTATCAAGAGGGTTAACCGTGACCTCATAAAAAATAGAATTTATTATGTCTCACGACCCTTGCCCGAAACTAAGACAGCGGAGAAAATAATAGAAAAATATCGTAATTAAAATCCAACCCTTCCTGTCGTTGTGCTATTTTATGGAGGGATAAAATTGGAGCGAGGCGCGCGTGACCGATGCGATGATATAGTGTGTTGAAGTTCTAAAGGCCTGTTATGGGCTTGAAATGCGCGGATGGGGGCGGGCAACGCACTGTGCTCGAGACGGGTTAAGCGATCTTTAATGACTTTGTTATATCATTTATTAAAATGTAAACATATGACGACTCCAATTAAATTTTCTTCGACAAATGTTCATTTCCGTTTCAACTGTTTTTATAAAGTATAAAATTACAAAATGATAATTTCCTCATATAATACAAATAAGTTATAAAATTTATAACTAAGAACTTTTTGCCTGCGTCCTATGCATGAATTTTAAAAATAGGAAAACTTTTACTTCTGTACGGTGTATCAAAACAAATTATATAGCTACCAGATTTTAAATTAGACCTCCAGGCACACAACTGTGAAAACACATCAAATTTGGTGATCCAATTAGTTTTTGCATGAGACAGACAATTTGACAGACAGACTGAAAAACATACATAAATTTCTAAAAATGAATGTTTTGACTTCTATTGCTTTTATTATTTATTTCAAGTAAACAGTTACATAGACAATACATATTCTTAGTGCCGCGAAACTGCAAACTAAACTGCAGCTATGCGCTTTTGTACATACAGCTTTATAAACAATTATGAACTTATATCCTAATTCTGTATACTAAATTTATATCTTTATACATACATATACACACATATTCATATATACACATGCATATACTAATGTGTACTTATTTTTTTTTGATGGGTGAAAATGGTATGGTCTGCGCTAACGGGATATGCTGGCGGAGCACCAGTGAAGGGTGATAGATGAGAATGAAAACAGGTCAGTTAGCCCATCATCATGAATTCATCAGGAATTAACCGTGATAGTTTCCAGGGGGAACCGCTAGGAGGTCGACCTGGTTGGGTATATTGCTAGCAATGGAATTCTCAGTTTCCATTACTAACAATCCCTTTCCCCCAATGTGTACTTATTTATACCAGTAACAAAATTTGCCATCCACTTGCTTGTATTTTAGATAGTGTGTGCTGTCCTCAATCATCACTATACATTATGGTCAACATTCACCATCCAAATTAAATCTAATACTGATCTATAATTTTTTTTTCACTTTTTATTTAAAATATTTTATTGTGACATTATTTAATAATCTTATATTTCTCGGTAATACATTATAGTATTTTGGAACTAAATATTTTCTTGTTCTTTTACAATAATAATTATTAATTTTGGATACAATTTATTCTTTGTTTTCAACTTTAAGACCCCTCTTATCAATTTTTCTTGAATATCTCCCATATATAGATATCGTACAGTTACAAGTTATTACTCAATTTATATCAGTATGTATATAAAAATTCTAAACAGTGACAATAGATACTGTATTCATATTTTAATGCATGAAATTAAATCAGCAATATCACAACGAAATAAATCAAAAATCCTTTTTTTTTATCTAAATCTAAATGTTTCATTATTTTGGTAATTTTATTTATAAGATTTATGGTTATAAACTGTATTATTTCATACAGTAATAGAATATCTTGCAATCTTATATTCTCTGACGTATATGGCGCTGTTCATGTTTATAGGTGACGGTTAATACTTTCCATCAGCTTGTTAGCCATTTATCATAAAAAAATAAAAATAAACACTTAAACAGTGAACCCAAGGCGAAGAGCAACCACGCTAATGCCTACAAAGCGAAACTCCCGCTTAATCGATATTGTCGATCGACGTGATTTCAATTTAAAAACAATAGCTAAGTCAAAAACAGGTTGAAAGCAATTTTCGATAAGATTGATATACTAATGGATAATTTTGTGGTATTGCTGGCAAATAACAGAAGCTTACCTCGTCTTGGTTGGGACGTGACGAGGCGGAGTTACGGCTATCGAGTGTCGGGATAGCTATCTTGGAACGTCACGTTTTATATTAACAAAAGTTGCACAGTAAACTGACAGTTCCACATGATTACAGAAATTAGTGTTTCCTCTTGTACTTCTTTAATACTACCAAATATCTAATTCAGAAAATAAACCATCCTTACTAATATTATAAATGTAAAAAAATTATTCGTTTGTTAC